TGAGACTTTTGATATGGCCTGATGTACATCCTTCAGTCATTGTCAGTGACAGGGAGTTGAGGTTGATTACTCCTATTCAGAGGAATTTCCCGACGACGCCCCCCTTACTCTGCACGTGGCACATCAACAAGGATGTGGAAGACAGAGTCTATCGATTAACGTCAACAAGCACAAATAAAAATAAGATCTTCGCGCAGAAGTTCACGCACGGCAAGTGGAAGAAAGTTGTCGAGGCGAACAAGTGGGACAAATACAAAACTGCCGTAACTGATTTAGCTGTTACATACGCAACATTTCCTCGTGTGCTGGAATATGTGGATCAGACATGGCTAGTGCACAAGGAGAAGTTTGTCAAAGTGTGGACGGACACTGTCTTACATTTTGGCAACACAACATCGTGTAGGGTGGAGAGTTCCCACGCTACGTTGAAGCGGTGGCTTAACACGTCGACCGGTTCGCTCGACACGGTTTGGGAGAAGATTGACAAGGAGATTGATTCTGAACTGATTAAAGTCAGGTATATTCTTTAATATATACAGTAAGACTGTGTTATTAATGCATTAATTATAAATTTTAATTGGGTCGAATGTTATGTAATGTATTACCAGGGAGACGCTGGAGTCTTCGAGACTTAGACTGAGTACGGGCTACAAGGGATTCCATTTAGAGCAGTTGACACTGCAGATATCGCATTACTGTATGGATATATTGAATGATGAGCTTCAGAACATGCGAGACTTCGGCAAAGATGTTTCGGAGAGCTGCGATTGTGCACTAAAATACACTCATGGACTTCCTTGTGTCTGTGAGCTAAGGGAGGCACACACTGTAGATAGAGATATTACGACCGACGAAATCCACAGCTTCTGGAGCACACTAGAGGTGATGCAGCTAGGTATAATTGCGAGATTAATAAATCTATAGAACATCATGCTCAGCATTTTTTTTTGGATAAATTTTGTTTAATTTTTTTTTAACTCCACGTATTGTTTCATTTATAGAAAATTTGATAGAGCATATTGTATAATTCTTTAAATTTTTGGTACGGACAGGTCAGCAGAGTGAATCGGCGAGTGGATGGACTGATCATGATTATTTTCGGAGGCTTGCCGAGGAGGTTGCAGCGGCCGATCCTGCGACGGTACAGTACCTGAACCATCTCATCGACTCTCAACTTCACCTAGATCAACAGGGATACACAGAACCTGCAGTGAAGGAAAATCCGAGAGGTCGGCCCAAGAAGAAAAATTCAACAAAACGCGATCTATCGAGATGGGAGTATAGTGAAAGAGGCCGTACGGCGGGGCGTAAAAGCACTTCTTCATGTGCTCCATCGCAATCGGGGTACACGGAAACAGGTCGTCGGCCGGGGCGTAAGAGCACTACTTCGTGTGCTCCGTCGATGTGGGACTACAGGGAAAAAGGTCGTCCGGTGGGTCGTACAAGCACTTCTTCGTGTGCCCCGACAAGCTCATCGTCTCAAGATCCGACAAGTAATTTAATTTTATTTTTTATCTGAACGATGACTAATTATGTTTGTAAATTCAATTACCTAAATTGTGACGTGAAATTATTATGATATCATAGATACTTTCGAGACGGATTTTTTTCAGTACCGACATCGTTGTAGGATTCCCTACGTAGTTCACAGCTACGTACAGAGTTATCTGGATGTGACACCGGACGGGAACTGCGGATTTTGGGTGGTTGCAAGTTACATTTATAGGGATCAGTAGAAGTGGGATGTGGCCAGAAGAAATATTGCAAATGAGGTTGCAGCCAACATTCATTTGTACGCTCCATTTTATTGGGATGTGGTCGACGTCGCAATCGATCGTATAAGATGGGATGGGGGTCCTTGTGTCCAGGAGCATTGGATGAATGCTACGGACGACCTCTTTGATATTGCTACACTGTTTAATGCAGTTGTCGTGTTGTTAGGCTATGGTCCCAACGATAACAATATGAACATGGCCAGTAGGACGATATTCCCGCTCCGCGCACCATCCACGGCTACACGACCTGACTGTGAGATCGTCATAGGTTATCTTGGTTCCTACGAGCACTTCATTCGTGTGAATCTGTGTTCTGATTCTCCATTACCTCCTTTGTATTATTTTTGGGAGAAATACCGAGATGTTTCGGTTGAAGATTGGTCGTATCAGTACCAGAGCAGGTTCCAGTTGTGGATTGATATTCGTACTGCAGCTGAAATTTGATATATTGTGATTGGCCGTATCAGTACCAGAGCAGGTTCCAGTTGTAGATTGATATTCGTACTGCAGCTGGAATTTGATATATTGTGATATTCGACTTATGTTTGCGGTTTTTTTTTTTTAAATTTTATTTTCATGCGTTACGAGTGATAGATTGTGATATCTCGCCTTGTCTACCGTTTCACGTGATATAATGGGAGAATATTTTGTTTAGATGAAAATAAAATTAACTAACCACAAATAAAAAAAATAAATAAATAAATCTACTAATAATTTGTTACAAAATCCAAAACAAAATATAAAAAAGAAAAAAAAAAGTACTTATTACATCACTACTGCGCTCTGTCGAAATCCAACTTCAACTGAGCCAATTTTTCTGCATAAATTGCCGCCTTATCAGGAGCAACTGTCGCGAACTCCCGATGCATATATAATGAAAAGGACATGGACCGTTCGACCCACTACACAAAGCACAAGGAAAATATATACACACATTTAAAATATATATATAAGAAAATTGTAATGAACGAATACTAACGAAAATTTAATAAACGACTTACATAATCGATGTTGGCGCGCGCAGAGACAACCTCGTCGTCCACCTGAATGTCGGGCAAGAGTCTAGGATGAGAATAACGCTCATACCATCGCTGGTAGTCCTCATGGGCCGCCCCTAGATCTCTGCAGTGGTAGGAGTAAAATCAGACAAGCGTACAGAATGCAGTAGAGGGAACTGATCCCAGTGATCTACTGCAGTGCCCGCTGCATGCTCAACCCTATACATCCTAGCCTTCCAACCATGAAATACAGTGATCGGACGATCCATGCGGGGAGGGATCGTCTGGACGTAGCCCAACTGACGCAAGAAACGCATAGGCATGTACGGCTCCACAATATCCCAGTACCTAAGGCATCCGGAATAAAGGGTCCTAGGCTCCAGCAAATGTGGGTTGGGGCCGTATGACAGCCAGTTTACCTGTTTACAATTGCATAAAACATTTATTCAAACAATTCGAGTATTCTAATTAACTTTAAATGTAATAAAATAACTTAACGTACCTCGGCGGATGTGAGTCTGTCAAGCTGCCTACGAAAATGCTTGAGGCGCTTATCTGAGTTATCTGGGATGGGGGTCCTCCACAAGGCTGATCGGGCCAAGCTGTCAGGCTCGGAGGCCATACGCGTACCGGCAGGTCGGAAGGTGGAGAATTACTCGTATATCCAGGACTGCATGAGAGTCAAGCAGCCCACCACTCCCCCTGACTCCCCTCTGCTGGCCATACCTAAATGTTTGAATAGGTATGCAGTGCGGCCGAGCCACACGAGTAAGTCCCAACGCTCTGCAGGTCCTCCATCATCTCGTGTAGGATTTTGGGACTGACCCTGTTACCACTCTTGTCTGTAAACAAGGTGGTAGTGAGCAGCACCCACAGCCAGCCAATCGCCACATGCTCAGCCGACCGACCTGCGCCATTCTTCTCCAATGCAGTAAAAACGGCTTCATTCGTCACCGAGCCGTGACCCCAAAAGTTCGCCATCAGCGTTGTCTGGTCCACCCCCAGGAGCTCCATGCAGTGCGCTTGATGTGTCAAGCTGTCGGGGTCCCTTGTGACTACCGCACCGACGACAGGAACCCCCAATATGCCCTCACGTCGTGCAGCATGATACTCATTTCACCAAAAGGCAAGTGAAACGAGTTGGTATCCGGCTTCTAGCGCTCCACAAATGCTGAAGTAAGTGGAGTGTCGACGTGGTCATGCATGTTGAACGCCAAATGTGACAGCCCGGTCGGACGGATCAGATCTCGCGGAGCCTCAGCCACCTGTACGAGCCACTCCCTCAAAACACCGTTCGCTGCCATCCTGTTTTGGCACTTCAACGTGCCTCTAACATGTCCAGTCCAAATCCTGGAGGCTACGTGCCTAGAAAACTAGGGATAACACTTCCGTCAATGGGGCCACCAGGTACTGGGGCTTTAACAAGCCAGTCGTCACACTTAGTGCGTTTGCTGCTCGCCCCTGTATTATAATAGAAAAATCAATATATATACGACATACTGTGATTGATTGTATCAATGATGCGCTATTATTAAATAAAATAATATATAATGGTAAACCACAATAAGTACGTAAATCATTTACCTGAGGATGAGGCAGCGCTCGTATAACAGCCCCCAGTCTGTCGTGGAGGATCAACTCGGCCGAGTCGTTTAGCTGGATGTGCCTGTGGCTGGGTCTGTGGCAGTGGTTGTGGCTGCTCAGCTGCATTAAAGTCCGACTCATTGGCCTGCTCGTCATCATCATAGGCCTGCTCGTTGTCGTCATCATCATGATCATGATCATCATCATCATCCCCCGAACTCCTAACTGCCAACTCATAAGTGGAATCCCGCCGATGATCAATACGTATAGTGGGGCCACGTCCAGAACTGCTAGGCATCACTAATAAGGACTGCTGACCATTCGAACTGCCAGGCATGAGTGGGCCAGACTGCTGACCACTCTGTATCAGAGCAACGAGATGTCTCGATCTACCAACCTGGGCAGTCTGTACCCTGCGAGCATGAAGGAGCATCCGTTCCCTCTCCCGCCGAGTGGAAGCATTCACATTACGAGTGGATGTGTGTCGGGGTCCAGAACCCTCGAACTCGGCAACATACTCATCAGCTTAAATAAAAAATTTTAAACCAATAATTAGTATACATATTAATATATTTTAAATATTAATATATTTGTTTCTTAATAATATATTATTAATATTTTTTCGTTAATCATATATATAATAATATATATTAAATTAATTAATTAAATTTCTAATATTTATACATTTTTTAATTATCTATTATTTAATAAAAAAATNTACATGTATCATTGTAAGTGACCTCCAAAGCACACACCCACCCACGCAATTAACTGGCTAATGACTTCGATGGGCGTCGACGGTAATCTTCATGCCACTTGAACAATCACTTTTATAGCCGCTTATAAAGTAATACTTCCGTACTTCCGAAAGCTTTATTTGACCGTTGATTTGATTACCATTTTGAGTTACGCAGTTCTCGTAATCATGACCCGCGCTCACCATGTATACACCATCCGATTTCGGGTCCTTGAAAACTGCGTTTACACGTATACAATATGCAAGATTAATTTGCATAAGTAATTTTACTTATTTAAACAATATGCAAGATTAAATTGAATGCTATTGCCCTGTAACATTTTAACAAATAATCAACCAAGAACAATAGGAGATCTATGTATCTCTCTTTGTAATATGCCTAGTATTTTGTGATATAAGCTAATAATGTAAAATAAGTATTTAAAATTAAAAAAAAAATATATATATGATGAAATAGCTGTTGTGAAAATTACAATCATATGAATATAACCAAATTCGGTTGATTGTGTTCATATGAATATACTAAACTAGAGAAAACCACTATACCGATCAACAACCTTCCAAACCAGTCAAAAACGAAATTTTCATTCAACAAATTATTTTGTTAAAATAATTGGAACCGTGATATATGTGCCACTTCACTTAATATACATAAATTAAACTTCAAAATTACTAATTTCATGCACTTAAATCAGATAATGTGTATGAAACATTATATATATATATATATATGGTGCAAATTCCAGCATACACTGTATGTGTATATGAAGCGAACTTGAGTAATTAGTTGGTTAGAGAAGAAAAACATGGCCGATTGGAAAATAGAACAAATATTTAAATTAAATATTTATTTGTCATCTTACCAAGGGTGTCACCAACATAAAATTTCTTGCCATCGTTCCAGCTTGTTACAGCACCAGCACTTGTCCACCCTTTGTCACCCCCCACAGTCCAAGTTGTTACAGGTGGAACCCAGATGCCGTGACCCAACTGAAACTGAAAAATCATCATAAGCAGGAGCGTGTGCGTGGCACCACTACTCATCCTCTTCCCGCTCATCCTCATTCACAACACATAATGCAATTTATTGTGTTTTTGTGAGAATGTTTATGGTTACTAGTATTTAGAGGCAGGCCCGCCTTACCGAAACTACCATTTTTCATTTTCCACTTTAACATTCGGTTTAGTTGGGAGATTTGTTTTGATCCCAAATATCAGATATCAACATACTTAATTATTACAACATGACTCAAGTACCTTACTTTTTATTTATTTATTTATTTATTTATCTTTTTGCCAGTTTCTTAATTGTTTTCGTCTTTTATTTATTTAACTCACGAAGATGAAAACGGAATCCCTAAACCCTTTGAATCCCTAATCCCGCTTTCCCTCTTTCTTCGATTTGCCTGATTTACGCCTTCCACAGCGGCCGACGGGCTCCGCCGGCGGTCGACTCCTGGCCGCTTGGCTCTCAACCCGTCGTGTCTCCTCTTGCTCCTTCGCAACGCAACGGAAAGGATGGATCTGCGTCGGTGGTCGTCGCTGCTTCTCTGGCAGGTTCCGGCTTCGTCTAGGGTCGTCGTCTCCTTCCTTAGGCAGTGGTGTTGGGTGGGATGTTTTTCACTGGGTTGGTACCGGGTGCGGTTCCGGCAGCTCGTGGCTTTGGTCGGCGATGGCGGGGCTGCAATTGCACCTCTTTGCTCCTCTCCCCCCGTTCTCTGGCTGGGTTCGGAGGGAGTGCCGGTGTTGCCGATTCTTGCTAGTGGTGTTAGCGGGGTTCAGTGCATCGGTATCTGGGGGCAGTTGGGTTGTTCTCCGACTGTGGGGCGAGTTGGGTCGACTTGTGGTCCACAGGCTCGGCTCGGCTTTGCCATTGGTACCGAGTTTGCTAGTGGTGTTAGTAGGCTCGGTACTACGGCGGCTGGGTATAACCTTGGGGTCTCTCCGGCTCTGGGGCGAATTGGCTTTGGGTGTATTCCGAGGCTTGGGATTCGACTTTGCTAGGCGGTTCGGCAGTGGCGAGTCGGTTTTCTTGGGCAGAGGAAGCCTCCTAGGGTCGATTTGGTGACTGCTGGTTCGGCTTGGAATTGCTGCTGTGGAAGGGCTCGTGCTATTTTTTGTTTCTGTGTGTTTTTTTATTGTTTAGGTGTTTTAGATTGTCTTCAGTCTTGTGTTTTTGGTTTGGGTTGTTAACCCCTGTGAACCCGAGTGTGACTGTATTATCCCGTTGGGATCGTGCACTCGGGCATTACCCTGTTGGGGTCGTTTTTCTTTTCTTTTTGTCTCATTCTCCCCTTGGGGGATTTTAGTTTTCTTGTGTTATTTTGTGTTCCCGAGTATTACCCTTTTGGGGTCGGCTCTAGGCGATCTCTGGATCTGCCTCCCAGTTTTCTAGTATTTGGTTGTACTATTCAGCCTTTGGCTGCGTTCTCTTCGCACTTTGTGCGGTTTTTATTAATATAGTACATCTATCGTTTCGGGAAAAAAAAAAACTCACGAAGATGACATTTTTTCTTGACTGTAAATAACATATAAAGTGGTCCCTCGTTAAATTTGTAAGAAAAGTGTGAAAGAATAATTCCTAAAACAAATAATCATATGTTAGTCACAGGCTACCCGGGCCAAATGTATCAAGTATTGCCCTTGCTCATGGTTTTCAATTTATAACCAAAATTCAGATTCGTAAAACAAATAATCAGATTGTTATATATTTGATTATGCATTTTACTATTTTACACTTCATGTATAATTTGGAATCTCACTAGTGTGTAGCCCGTGCGATGCACGGGAAACAACATTAAATAGTAATTATAAATCGGACTCGAGTTTGAGTCACTCAGTGGAGGAAGTGAGAATTACTATTGATTCTCTTTTGAAAGAGGAAGAAAAAAGAATAACTATAAATTGAAGAAGAGTATAATAACATTCAATAATAATTATATATTAAAGATATGTGGTGAAACAATGTAAATTATCTTGTACAAGATAATATAAAATTGTATCTTTAAAATATTAAAAGTACCTAAATTATTATATTAATATATGTAAAAATATCCAAAATTTTCTATATTATTTTTGAAAGTTGTGAAGTCATCTACAATTTTTCTAAACTATTTTGGAAAGAAAACTTATATAAAAACATTTATATTTAACATCTATTATGTATATATATACAGATGTATATATAGATCGAAAATGTAAAAATAAATGTCTAAAAAATTTGTTTAAAGTATCTAAATATTATAAGCCTAAATAAAGACATCGACATTATCTCACGCTAAAGTTTTGAGTGGAGATTTAGATAATACATGGAGGGATTTATGAGGTTACTTCCACCTACAAAAATATCTATCTATTTACAAATTCACAAAATCAACCAAATTTTTTAATATTGAAACGAAATTAAAAATTTGGGAGTTTTTAAAGTATAAGACATTCGAATTTTCTAAATTGCATATTGTATGCAATCCGATTCGAACTTTCTAAATTGCATATTGTATGCAATCCGATTCGAATTTTAATTTAAGGTTTGAAAGAACGGTATTCAAAATCGGGAGAATCCCAAAATTTTAGGATGCAATGTGATTGATTACTTTGTATGGAATTAAAGAATTGTCTTATTTAAATTTGTATTCAATTGGAGTGTTTTAATGGCAACAGAAATCTTATAAAAAAATTGTTCCAATCTTTATTTAAATTGGTATTCAATTGGTTAGAGTTTTAATGGCAACCGAAATCTTATAGAAAATTGTTCCGATTTTTTATGGCGTGTGTATATGGAATTTGATTGTTAATGGCGTGTGTGTCTATGGAATTAAAAACCAAATTTTTTTGCTGTCTGAAAATCTTATCTAAAATTTCCAAAAATAAATAAATTAAATGTTGTCCAATTTTTTTGCTAAGTATATTTAGTAAATGTTAATCTCCTTATATATATATATATGTTGTAATTAGTCTCTTAGTATAAATAGTAATTAGGGTTAAAAGATGAACAGTTAGTTCATTGTTTTTTTCTCGCCTGAACATCTTTCTCTCTAGCTATGCTCTTGAAAAAATCTTTCATCTCCTTGTATGATTTTGATCTTGAATAAAATCTCAGATGTATTTTAGTTTCAATATGGTATCAGTTACCAGATTATCTCGATCTACATAAATTTCCGCCGCCTAGATTTCTGTTTCTCGTTCGATCCCCTTTTGATCGAACCTAATTTTATGATTTCTCGTCGTTCTTTGTTTTGATTTCCACTCAATTTCGGTTCTATTAGTCCTAATCGACTCTGATTTGTTCTCAATTTTATAGATCTCATCCGATTTGGTTCTGATTTTATCTGACTCAATTTGTAATATTTTTCGATCTGTTCATAATGACGCATCCGTCTGATGATCCGTCCTCACCGTTCTACTTACATGCCAGTGACAATCCCGGAGCAATCATCGTTGGTGATCTTTCACTGGTGAAAACTACGTTGCCCGGTCTCGTCCCGTATCAATGGCGCTCAGTGTTAAAAACAAAGTATCTGTTATTGATGGCTCTATGATAACCCCTAACCCTGCTACTCATCCTATTGAGCATGTTGCTTGGGTTCGTGCAAATAATCTTGTTTTATCTTGGCTTCTGAATTCAATTGCAAAATATATTCGCCAATCACTTTTATTTTTCTCTGATGCTTACTGTGTTTGGGATGAAATTAAATCTCTCTATGCACTAAGTTCTGGTCCTAGGGTTTTCCAATTAGAAAAATCTTTGAGTTCAATGGATCAGGGATCTCAATCTATCATTCAGTATTACACCTCTTTCAAATCACTTTAGGATGAGTACATTACCTACCGGCCTGTTTTTAAATGTGTATGTGGTGCAATGACCAAATGTTCTTGTGCTATTTTTGAATCCATGACTTTGGCTCAACAGACTGATTCTGTAATGAAATTTTTTATAGGGTTAAATGATTCTTATTATGCTCTTAGAAGTCATTTTTTGCTATCTCTCCTTTTGCCTTCCTTGAATAAAGTCTATTCTCATCTGTTACAAGAGGAAAGTCAAGAAATTTGCAATCTACTTCCTGTTGCTATGATGGCCAAGTCTACACATGCACCATCAAAATATTTTCAAAAATCTTGCTTCAAAAGATAAAAAGAAATTCAAATGTGGTAACTGTGGTTACAATCATTCCACTGAAAAATGCTATCAATTGATTGAGTATCTTTCAAACTAGATTGGTCCAAAAGGTCCTAGAATTCACCCTTCTTATTCTTCTGCCATTGTTGTCAAAACCCCTAGTCCTCCAAAACAACCACCCAACTCTTCCATTACTGATGCTTTGTATTATGAGTTTCTAGAATACAAAATGTCTTTTGCTAACAAACAGGGAAAGGCTCTGGCTGAGTCATCCCCTGTTGCTGCCACTGTTTACATAGAACAAAAAGGTACTATTTCTATTTCTTGTCAATCAAATGCTCAATTTACAAAAGACGCTTGGATTATTGATACTGGGGCAACATATCACATGATTTGTGATTACAATTTATTCATTTTCTCCTTCAAAATTTTCTATTGCTATTAAACTACCTAATGGACATAGTACATTTGCCATCCATGTGAGACAGGTTAACTTGGGGCCTAATCTTGTGTTTCTAAATGTCATTTATGTGCCATCCTTTACTTTTAATCTTATTTCAGTACCAAAATTAACTGCTTCCAATAATTTTTGTCAATTTTGCCTCATGTTATTGTTCTTTACAGGACCTACAAACCAACAAAATGATTGGTTTTGCTGAAATAAAGAACGTCTTATACCATTTATCTCTTTCTAGTTTTGATACATTACATTCTGTCAATGTTGTTTCTGATAATAATGCATCAAAGACTGTTTCTGATGTTTCTATTACTTCTGATGATTCTGATACAACTCTCAATGTAATACAGAACAATGCTACTGATATTACTCATGCACTTTCATCATCTGAATTGGGGCATAACAGGTTGGGTCATCTATCATTTCATTAACTTGCTACTTTACCTGAATGTTCCACTACTCATTGCAAGTGTTTATCTAATTTACCATGTGATACTTGTCATTTTTCCAGACATAACAAGCTTCCTTTTTAAAATAGTATT